CATTTGGACATCACATCTTTTTTTTCATACAAATTAAATTATCAATATCGTTCGATTAATGATTGAAAATAATCTAACAACTGTGTTGTATGTACAATGTGTTTTTCAAACTTTTGTTGTTGGACAAATTGCCCAAAACCTGTATTCAATTTCAGATGTGTGAACGAAAAACGAAAATTAATGTTTTTTCACACTCAATCCAGTATGTAACATTCCTTTCTTTACATGTCATCATCTAACTTTTGTTTTTTTCTTTTAATCGATCGGTGTTTAGTGATGATCGAGAATCGAGAATCGAGAATCGAAAAAGATTAATATCTTTTTGGATATTTTACCAAGCTCATTGACTTGATTCTGGTTTTTCGCGTATTCATAAGATACTTATCAAGCAAACATTATAGAAGAACATTTTCTTCTCTTTTTTGAACTCCAAAACCATTATTATCAAAATGGAAATGAATATCAAAAAGGTAACTCAATTCATTGCCGTATCTCTCGTTTTTGTTGTTGAAACATTCATTTCACCTTAAAGGCTATGACAATAATAACAACAACAACGAAAAAAACTGTTTCAAAGAATAAATGTTATCAGTGATGAATTAAGCGAATGAAAAAAAGAAAAGAAAAAAGTCAATTCCTGTCTTATTATTATTATCATTATCAGCAAGCAATGTAATGTAATGTATGTATATGACATGTTTGAAAAATAGAGAAGAAAAAAAAAGATAAAAGGAAGAAACGAAGAAAGAAAGATATAACTATTGTTTGAATGAATGAAAAGACTTTAGATTATAATTTTTTTTTTTGATCATCATTCATTCAAGTCAAGTCAAATGCACAAATGTTGATGATGATGATAGCACAGTGTATTTATACCCCATTGGGGTAATGCATGGTTGACATATATAGTGATAGTGAAGATAGTCAGAAAAAAAATTATGGCTCCAACCATCATAGAAAATCATTCTTATTCATTCGATTTTCTTACTTTATTTTGCATTTTGCATTTTCTCATGCTGTGTGTTCCATTTTTTTCTTTTTTTCTTTTCTTTTATTTATATAAAGTTTCTTTTGTCTAGTTTTATTACGGGAATATTTCTCAAATGAATAGATTTTGTTGTGGTTGTCCATGACTGATGATGATTATTATCATCAAATATTTTAAGCGAATAAATGTTGTTGTTGTCTGGGTTCCATTTTCTTTCCCTTCTTTTTTTCTTATTTGTTCCGCAATTTTTAACCCCTACATTTCCCTTATCTAATCTAATGTAATCATGATGTTTATCATTAATTTACTCAACAACAAAAAAAAAGGTTAACTTGATTGCCGCATCACTTTTTTTTCATTTTGCCATTCTCACATTCGGCAGAATGCAAACATACAGTGTTTATGTTTGTTTTGTATTCGAATGATGAAGATGCAAAATAAATAAATATGATAAATGCAAATATCAAACTGGCCAAGGCAAAAAAAAAAAGACGAAAAGAATCATCAAAATCAGTTTGTTTTTTTCTTCTTCTTCGTTTGGTTAGTGTGTTTGATCTGATAATAACGTTAAAATAGTCCATCACATCAGTCAGTCAGTCAGTTTTGTGTTGTTTGTGTGTAAATGTCATTTATGTTTTCTCTTTTCTTTTCTTGGAGATATATTAAATGGACTTTTGGGTTTTCAGTGTTCCAAGAGAATACTGGTGCTAGGAAAAAACTAACTTTTTTTCCACTAAAAGTTAGTTTTTTTTTGGTGGGAAACTGGATCATTTTTAATAGCTATATGGAAAACAACTGAACTGAACTGAATTGATGAAAACTTTTTGCTTCCATCATCAAGTATTATTAAGTTCATTGTTTCATTCGCTCACTTGCTTTACATTACTTTGGTTTTTGGCTCAAAACAAAACAACAACAAAAAAAAACTTGCAAATAAATTGATGGTAGTAATTATTTCTATGCAAACGAAAGAAAGAAATATTGTTACATTCAAGTGCCAATCGATTTCTCGGTTGGTTCCACCACTATCATCATCATTACCATTGCATTAGAATTTCAATGTATTCAAAGTGAAGGATTCGAAAATGAAAATAAACTTGTTGATGATAATGATGGTTACCATTAAACTTTTCAATTGTTTTGTTTTCCCCCCCTAATTGAAACAACAACAACAACAGAATTTTAACAATCAAGTTTTTTTTGACAGAAATGGAAATGAAGAAAATGCATTTATCATGTAAATTCAGAAAATGTTTTTTTTTTGGAAACATGAATGAATCAAACGACAATGTTTTTTTCTTTTGTTTGTTCTTTTGAACATCGTTATCCAATTGATCTCAAACAATCGATATCAATCAATCGATTGTTTTCTTAATTTATTTATGGGTCAAATTCTTTTTCAACAAAAAATCAAATTGTCAAAATTGATTGACAATTTTTTTCAAACATTTTTTTTTTTGACTGAATGAATGAAATGTTTTACGAGAAAAATTTCATTAGCAAAAAAAAA